AGCTCTCACAGCATATTAAAAGGGTTTAATATCATAGTAGTACACCATGTAGTGGACCAAGGCCAATCATTTGTATAATAATGGCATGATTTGATAGTGATTGGCAGGAGATTAAATTATAGTAATATGGTCCAAAAAACAAACAGCACTGACTTGAGTATAGGCAAAAAATGGCAATCCTGACAATACATCAGCTACAAATGGACAGTCATTACAATATGTGGGAGCATAGCCTGCACCTCATCCCAACTTTCTCCTCCCCTATAGCAGCGGCTTGCTACTCCAGCTGCCAACTGACAGGAGTAGTGACACACTTATCACTAAGAGCATTGCCTTTTCTGAGGGCAGGAGGGAAAGAACAGTATTCCTAGCCTGCAGAGAAGAACAGTAACCACACTGCAGACAAAGGAATTTGGGCTTTCTGAAGGTATTAAGAAGAAGTCAGTGTCATTCCCTGCTAGTCCAAAATCTGATCAGCAGAGATGAATGGAAAGTTGAGCAAAAGTTTCTAACTTGCCAGTTCCTTTGCTCACCACCACCACCACCACTATTTTGGTCTGCAAAAATCACACTGGGCAGCAATGATTTTGCTTCTTGAACACTTCTGGGTGTATCTTATGGATTTGGGGCTGCTAATCATGGAAATAAAGTGTAATTTAACCTATCACATAACATATTTTTTTAGAAATCTTTTATTTTTGTATTTTGTTGTCACATTTTAAGTTCACAAATTTTCAATTACGTTATATTATGCTTTGTGTAGCTCATACATGTACAGGCATGCACACAGGTCTGGTTGCATAATGTTCGTCGAACTTGCACAGGTTGGGCATGCCTGGGAATGCTTAGGCTTAGTGTATGCTGCTGTAAGGGCTAAAGGCAGCTTAAGCGTAACAACTAGGCCTAACCCAGTTACAGACTTGCTGTTGTGGTTGTTGTAGTATGGTTGGTGACATCAGAAACACATGCGTGCCACATTCTACTACATTTGTGGCGAGTATACATTTACGTCTCAAAGACGCACTATGACTGGACTTATTAAGAAAGCATATGAGCTCTACTTTGGTTGTAAGATCGGTCATCAGGACAAGGCATGGGTTCCTTTAGATATGTTGTGGAAGATGTGCTGTGGATCTGAAAGCTTGGCTCAGAGAAACTCGGAAGTCAATGCCATTTGCTGTCCCAATGAGATGGCGAGAACAGAAGGATCATGTAATGAACTGTTATTTCTGTCTGTCTGACGTCTCTGGTATCTCTGCTAAAAATAAGAAATCAATTGAGTGCCCTAATCTGCCTTCAGCCATGAGACCAGTGCCTCATCATGACAGTCTGCCTGTACCGTAGGTAAAACGAACTTTGACAAAACTGTTGAAGATGCTGCAACGCACCAGCCAGGTACAGACAGTGACAATGATCCGGATTTTTAATTTTGTATGTCTGGCAAGCCTCATCTCATACATAGTCAGAATTAAATGACCTGGTCAGAGATTTGGGTTTGTCAAAATCAAAAGCAGAACAACTGGGTTTAAGACTGCAAGGATAGTGTTTGTGTTTGTTATCACCAGGTAAGATGATTTAAAATGTTTCTTTGCACAGGTAGACAACCTCATTTTCTGTACGGACATTGATTGTTTGTTCATGGCTTTGGGTTGTGAGCATGACCGACTAGAATAGCGTCTCTTTATTGATTCATCAATAATAAGCCTCAAGGTGGTCTTTTTTAGACAATGGCAATGTACACCCTTCAGTACATGTTGGGTATGTTGCTCACATGAAGAAAACATAGGAAAACATGAAATTGTTGTTGATGCACATCCAATACATTAAGTACAACTGGAATATCTGTGGATATCTCAAAGTAGTGGCCCTGCTGCTTGAATTGCAGCTTGGATATACCAAGTGCTGTTGTTTCATCTGCGAATGGGACAGCTGTGATGTGCTGGGGGGTATCAGCTGCCAGTGTGATGTGCTGGGCTTCTGGTGCGTCCCTGTGCCTTTTATGAGGAATGGGCTGCCGCCTGGTGAACCTGCACTAAAATAAACCTTTGCTATATATGCTCCAAAATTGAGGCTCTCATAGATTAGAGTTAGGACCACATTACACAGAGGAGCCTTGATGAGGCAGTGTGAGTTCCACATATTTTGCAAAAGTTGTGCAACTAAAACTTCTGTTTTTAACCCTAAAAGTAAGACAGTATAATTTTTTTTGCAGGGTAGCTGGTAAGTATTTTTGAAATGTTTTTGCTGTTCTCTGCCATTTGTTTTGCTAGCTGTGCAAAAAAGTTGCATTAAAAAAGGAATGGCCACTCTGAAAGAATTTGCTTCCAGGACAAAAAAATGTGGCACATACTGTAAACCACTTTTTGACCCAACAAGGATATTTTTGCTTCTGCTTCACATAAATCTCAGACTGATGAAACATTTGTGTAAAAAAAATGAACAAAGAAGCGGAAGGTTTTCATTATTTGAGACAGATGTTTCCAAGGATAACTGACACCAAGATCAAGGAAGTTATTTTCGTTGGTCCACAGATCAGATACATCATCACTGACAAATGGTTGGAAGATCTGTTAGTGGGGCTAAAGAAAATCGCCTGGAAAACATTCAAGGATGTTGTTGAGAATTTTCTTGGCAACTACAGAGCACCAAACTACATGGTTGACAAACCTATTACAGCATACAAGACCTTGAAGTGCAGCATGTCAATGAAGATTCACTTTTTGCATTCACACTTGCATTTTTTTCCTGAAAATCTAGGAAGTCAATGATGAACATGGTGAATGGTTTCACCAGGACATTGCCACAATGGAAAAACAATCAGGTCAAATGGAATTAAGCAATGCTGGTTGAATATTGCTGGACACTGCAATGAGATGCACTGGGCACTGAGTACAAACGCAAATCAGCAGCAAAACACTTTCCTCTTGAACTTTTGCTAAATATCAGAAATTATGCATTATGTATAAATTAACATTTTACGATTAAACACGTTATGTATGGCGATTAAAAGTTAATTTCATATTTCTCAAGATTCCTGCGTGATACAGTCATACTGAAATAATATTTGTGTTTAGCTTGAAGGTGTCTATCATAATCACCAAAAGCTTTTCAGGAAGCAAAATATTTGAAAAGATTTGTTGTCCAGTGTAATCTGCTCACTAACATGTCATACACAGGAAGACTGTTGCACAGCTGCACTGAAAAATATTGTGCATCATTCTCCTTCCATGTATCGCTACCTTAATAGTACATAGTTATGCAATGACTAATGTTACAGTGAAAGAACTGCAGAGAAAATTAATCAAATGTCTGAATAATATTGTCCAGTACTATACAAATGCACCTGTGAGGAAATGACCCAAGTAGGGAAAGTTCATTAGGCATGAATCCACATAACTAAATAGTTGATTTTACGCAAATTAATTTTATGGCCGGAGTCGCTATCCATGAGTTTAATGTTATCTCTATAATGTAAAGACAGATTTATGATTTTAGTGTTTGGCAACAATGAAAGGAAACTGTAGCTTGGTCTAACACAGTCATGCCTAGATTCTGCTATGTGCAAAAAAATGAACAGCTATTAGGCACCAATATTTTTGTATAGAAACCTTTTTTCTGTTTGTTCTCCATTAAGCCATCATAGATGGTGCAACATCTCCAAATACTAGGATATCTCCACATGTACAGTGGAATAAAGCCTGCTGTGTTTGACACTTATCCTACCCAACACATCTGGAAAATCACTGGACACCAAGAAATAAGACTTAACTTAATGAAGAGACAAAACAGAATTATTGCCTTATTGTCTAATATTATTTTACCAATATTAGAGTCCCATTGTTACATTACATTACACCACATTGTAGTGCATCTAAAGCCAAACATTGTTTTGGGATAGAGCATAGACATTTTAAACCTCAAGGTTTCCATTGTTGTCTATCTCTGCTGGGGAGATCCACACTTTTAGTTTCATGGTGACATTTGTCACCTGGAGGGAACGTGATGGGAAATCCAACATATCAAATGTCACTGAAACAAGAGAAATCTTCCAATTGTGACACCTGTTCTGGTGAAGAGAAGATATCCTTTCACTTTGGAGAGATTTTCTCTCACTTCCTGTTGTGCCTCTTGGACAGAAAGTAAAGATATTGGGACAATATGTGCAGAGAAATCTCCCCAATAGGACACAGACAAAAAAAAAGAATCTATCCCTTTCGTAAACCTCATTATTGGCAGTCGGGCCGCTCTTTCATTGATGGGCCAATAATGGAGTAGAGGAAGCAGAAGGTTGCTTAGTCTGGCCCTTCTTACTCTGTTGATGTACAAAATTGCCCCTCTGAAGACCCTATGGTAAATATGGTTCTGATCAGAAGCTTTTTGTTTTCTTGTCCATTAAGGGATAAATAATGCAGATACATTTGGGTTATGCCGCTACCTACAGAGGACAAATAGAACAAATTCTCAGCCAGTCCCTATATAATTCCAGTGTCCCTCTTTTTTTTGCTTGCCTTCACTTCTTTGTGGTTTTTTTTTCTTCTCTTTGTCTACAATAAAGATTATATGCTGCTTGAGCTTGTCACTATATATTGCTGCTATCTGACTTTGTGTTTCCTAAGCTTAGCTTTGGAGGCCATAACTGAATCCTGCTGGACTAGATGTGCAGGGCTCACCTAAAAGCTGGCCTTCGTACACTGGGCTCTGCATTGTGGTGCTTTCCATACCTGAGTGTACTGTTTCATTGAGCATTTTGTAGGTCCAGAGTCATGGCACTGATAGTAAAAAAAACAAAACCTTGTGCATAAGGTAAGAGTTGTAGACTGACATCCAAACTGTCATCTTTTAGCCAGTATTTACTGACATCACAGTCTACAGCACAGTATACTGCTGCAGATAGCCAGTGCTCGCCAAAGCCCTCTAGAGGCCACTGGTGGGTAACAGATCTGGAACTGTATGGCCTGGAGGTGGCATGGTAACAGCACAAGGCAACTTTGGAGTTAATGATGGATGATAAGAAGATCCTGTTACTTAATAGGTACCAACTCTCAAAGACCATTGGAAAAGGAACATATTCCAAAGTGAAAGAAGCTTACAGTGCAGCTATGCAAAAGAAGGTGGCCATTAAAATCATTGCTAAAACTGAAGCCCCTACAGGTAAGTTTGGATGGGAGCAGTCTAACAAAATACAATGGTGGCAATTCATTATAGCATTTACTTCTCTGATTTTTTTTTACCCTTTAAAAAGTCCTGCACCTAATTCCTGAAAGCCTTCTGACAAATTCGCTAAGAGTTCTGACAGGTTGTTCTTATTTGCACAACTTTCACAATGTAAAAGATTACAAAAAAAATACCACCTACTCCATAGGAAATTGGAGGTAATTAATACCAACTCAAAGTTGGTGCATTGAGATAGTCCAGAGTGCACAGGGTGGGGCTGCAGTGTAGCAAACAGCAGGGCATGTTTGTTTGGGCCATCCCATCCCACCACACCTGTTATGGGTTGCTAGGACACTGTGAGCTGCATAGCATCATTGGTTGCTAGGAGGCTGTTGGCAGGAAGCCAATAGTGTCCTAGCAATCAATGATGCTATGCAGCTGACCGTGTCCTAGCAACCACAGACACTATGCAGCTGATCATGTCCTAGCAACCAATGATGCTATGCAGCTGACCATGTCCTAGAAACAATGATGCCATGCAGCTGACAGTGCCTTAGCAACCAATGATGTAGTGCAGCTGACAGTGTCCCAGCAACCAAATATGCTGTATGGCCCAGGGATTGAGCAGGAACTGGAAATGGCATGTCCAGTATGGAGACAGCAAGGGCCAATGAAAAATGGGCAAGTATGCAGGCAGCATCACACTGAACATTTTCAGCCAGTACATACTTGTCTGATCTTGCCAGAATGCATTATCCTTGTCACCATACACATGAGATGAACTGTAAGGATTAAACCATTTTGTCTTATTTATGTAAACTACTTATCCTGTCATCCACCATGTAATGGAGATTTTAAAAAAAGGCAAGCATGTTTAAAGTCCAGTCAGGATGGCAGCAATGGTTCTTACCATAGATACAAGGACAGGAGTGCATTATTCACATGATTACCACATAAAAATAATGGAGGAAAACTACAAAAAGAAAATGAATGCAGCCACCACATCTAAGTACTGGAAAGCTGCAATATATTACATCTTAGCTTTTGTGTTCAGGTATGGTTTGAAGTGCTGGTCATGTGAACATTACATATTTACACATATCTTGCCTGATTAGAAAACTGTTCCCACCCTCTAACAGATCAATTGACCCGCCCTTGTGGGAATTGTTCAAAATTTGGTAGAATTACAGAAAAATGGTGTCATCATATAAAACAGGAAGGAAAATCCTCAGTGTTTTGTATCAACCTGTGTCCACAATGGCATGCCAAGGTCTATCCAGTTACTTAACCATAGCTTGATAAAACATTTTCTCTTTCATGGAACTCAATAAACTCCTCTCTCTTCAGACTTCATTCAGAATTTTCTGCCACGAGAGCTACATATTGTGCGTTCTTTGCGTCACAAAAACATCATAGAAGTGTACAAGATAATCGAGTCAGTGGCTCAAAACAAGGTTTATATGATTATGGAGTTAGCAGAAGGGGGAGACATCTTGGATTATATTGGGCAGCATGGAGCATTTCCTGAAGCTCGAGCCCGAACCCTCTTCCATCAGTTGGCAGAAGCTGTGGATTATCTGCATGATAAAGGAGTGACGCACAGGGACATCAAATGTGAAAATGTATTGTTGCATCATGGCACCCTCAAGCTGAGTGACTTTGGTTTTGCCAAGACGTTATCTTCATCCAAGAATGAACTAAGCAACACCTTCTGTGGTAGTGCACCTTATACAGCACCCGAGGTACTCCAGGCAAAACCTTATGATTGTTGGAAGAGTGACATCTGGAGCATGGGTGTAGTGCTCTATGTAATGATTAGTGCACGGCTCCCTTTCAGCAATACTATCACTAAAATTTTGGAGCAACAGCAGAAAGGTATTACTCTACCTGCACATATCCACATATCTGAACATTGTAAAGACCTGGTGAAAAAGCTACTGCAGCCAAACATAGACTTACGACCATCTATTAAAGAAGTCACTGCACACCCATGGCTCAACATCCACTAAATGACATTAAACAGTCCATTGCCCATTCGGTGTCTTGTATACCTTTATCATGGTGTATTGCAAGGATAAGCTAAAGTACTTTATACCTGCATGATCATTAGTGAAGAGGCAGACTTAAGCAGCAGCTGTGGATTAATACATCTCTTATCAGAGATTCAGTTAATTGGTTGGTTGTGCCCATCCTGCTACCTTTAATTTAGAGTACAAAGTTGCCCCGCAATGTAAAGCTCTAGTGTAATTTACAGAAGACAAAGTAATGCCGAGTGGGTGTTTGAGTGTGGTAGGGAGATTAGATTGTGAGCTTTTTTAAAGAAGTACTTCAGGTAAAGGAAAAACTTACTATTGCAGTGGGGCTACTGTAAGAGTAAGTTTTTTGTTTGCCTGGAGTTTTTCTTTAAAGGACAGGGAATAATGTAAATGGATCCATGTACTCTGTAAAGCTCAGCATAATATGTTAGCAGCATACAAATATGGGCAATAAATAATCAGGTTTAACACAAGGCATCAGAAGGAGCTAGATCATATTTCCATTAAGGCAGCGGAGCCTCTTCAAAATTTCAAGCTTTCAGGTATAGAGAGAATAGGTATACCCCCTCACCTATCCCACAATGCAGTGCTCAGATCAAAGCATTTATCGCTTTGTGGCACGCCTAGGACTATTTGAATACCAACTTTTAGAAAGTTGATATTTGCATATGATCTAGCTCCGTTCTGGGGAGGCATGCTAGTGTAGTCTAGGTATGATGTGACACCTTGCGGTGCCTGTTTGTCAACTCGGCATTTTTTTGCATACTATGAACTCACCAAACGCTTACTTTAAAAGAAACTTCTGCAGAGAAAAATATATAGGGTCTGTCATTTTGAAAAATGCTTGGCTGTCATGTTGATCCAATAGAATCACTGACTCAGATCAAGTACACAGATTAGGAGATCTGACCTCATCGGGTTAAACTTGTTCTGCATTTATGTATTTTAATAAGGTGATCAGCAATGGCAGATTAAAGGACATGTTGAATTTTAATAAAAACTACATATGTCCACCCTCCCTACATTGTAAACTATATTGAAACACTGTCCTAAAAAAGGGTTAAAGATTTTAGGGCTTGCGTTCTAAATTGTGTGCTAATGAGAGGAAACTGAGTCTAACCCCACTGTGTCCCCCTCCACTTTCACTTTGAAATTGTTCAGAATACCATGCAGCCTGCCCAAAGGTCTGCTCCAAAGAAACATTAGAATGGTAAGCTTTGTTTTTGTTTTTTTTAACCCATTGTGCTTTGTAAAAAGGAACATCTAACACACATATAGTGGGGTTTTCTCCAATTTCACTGCTAAATAGGAAATATGTCTGTAAATGAAGAAGGGGGGTACAATTGGGATAAAATATACCTGAAACGTGCTTTACGTCACAGCTCCTAATCTGCATACTTGTTCTGGGATAGTGAAAATAAAAGCATTTCAACTACTGGATCAGTATTACTAGTATCTAAAAGGACGGAAGGGCAGAAATCACACCTTCCATGCTTCTACAGTACAGGATTTTTTTCAACATTGAGCTGAAAAAGGGATTCTTGGATGGCAAATCCAATCACTGCATATCACTCACTCACTCTCATTTGCAATCAAAGACAACCCCAAAAGGCTAATAACAATGGTTGTGTTGACATTAGCTGTACCATTCCATATTTGTATATTCACATACACCTAGATCAGCTAGGTTTGATTAACTAGAAGGAATACAAGCATCACATACAGATAATGGGGTTGCAGAACGTAATTTATTCACTATAAAATAAAGAGCATTTTTTGTTGGATGTCTATGCAGTATACACAAGGAGAATTGAGAGATCATGCCACCATTTCTTTCATAGCAGCTAAGTGCAAAATTTGTAAGGTCCAGGAGAACATCTTAATTATAAAAAGAGAAAAGAAAGCATTTATCATTTTAGTGTGAGGTTTTTCTTTTCCCCAAACTGCTGCCTCTCTCTTCCTCTTTGCTGCCACACAACTTAAATAGATAATACATATTGCACACACAACTGACAGGAATGAAGGATGTGTTAATAAATGAGAGAGGGAGCAGAACCTAATAAGAGCCAGCATACATTACTAGAATTGAGGAAAATGGCTCTTACAGCAAAATGCAACACATATCTGACTTGCATTAAAATGAAAGGGGTTTTCCAATTTAAACTAAAAAAAAAAAAATGGACCCATACTTCAGACCCTCTCTATGAAGTAACATGAAAGACTCCTGGCCTATGGCAACCCTTGTGAGCAGCAGTAGATTGTGATTCCCCTTGCGGTGTAAATTTCTTTGGAGAAATTAGTTCATCCTTAGCATAGAAAGGCTTCCACTGAGTGCCATTATATTTAAAAGGATGACTGCATTACTATGTTAGCTTTAGCACTGCAGATTACATTAACTGTGTCCCAGAACGGTGTGGTGTGTTTGTAAGGAAGAACTCCTCGATGATGATATACAGAAGGGTCCTTAAACAAAACCTGTCATTACAGAAATCCAAGAGCTGCCATTTCTTCTAAAATGTTAGTTGCATGGCTCTCATACTGACACTCTAGCTTCAAAGTTTACTGAATTAGAAATGTGTATTCAATTCTGGATCCGTGACTCAACACATTAAGCCTAGAGCAAGCTTGACAACCAGCTTTTTAGGAGTTCTGTAATGGCAGTGCATATATTTCTCTCATGACAGGTGTCCTTTAACAGGGCTCCGGTTAGGGTCATTATTTCCTATGGGTATGGTTCACACCTGGGCGTATTACAGGCTGTATGAACGCGCTACAAAACGCCCTACGCCCAAAGAAGTACAGGAGCTTCTTTGGGGCGTTTTTGTTGCACGTTTCCATTGGGATACAGCCAAGTAGCACTCGGAAACATGCGTTTGTCAATCGTTTTTTTACAGCGAATCGCGGTAAAAACACGCGCCACGAAACGCGCGACAAATGCGCATATTCGATACGCCTAGGTGTGAACCAGACCTAAGAGTTTGAAGGAGAAGTGCACATTTACTGCAATTATTCTTCAAAGCTCCATCTCTATGTGGTGACCAATTGTTAAATAGGGTATACTTTAACTAAACCACGGGACTCTAGTGATCTTTACTGTGCTGCTTTCTGGCGCTGTGCAAATATATCCAGCCAGCCAGTACATCCCCTGCCAATGCATGCTAGAGTTTCAATTAACCTCAATTTAAGACCAGTCTACAAACATTGACAGACATCCACTAAAACTAATGAAAACTGCACCATGAAAACCCCCACAGACCCATTGTTTAGATAAATATATACTATATAACAAATGGTCACCATAGGGAGGTTGGGCTCTGAACGAGCAATTATCCATTACAGTGAATGTAACCATCTCAGAACTACTTATAGCTGGTCCATACGATTTCCCAAAGGGTCACAGTGTGAGGACATAGACTTATCATTTTATCTAATTGACAGTTATCTTTAACCAGACACTCCTCATAATATAACATGCTGAAAGCAGAAAACCCAATAAGGAAACCTAGGTGTTCTGCTCTACATTGGGGTATGCGTACGTACATGTGAACCTTCCGAATGTTTGCGGTTTGATATTTGCTGAAGAATAGACACTGTTCACATGTTTCCTTATGTGGACTATGCTAGACTGTGTAGTCGAGTGTTCAGAATCAGCAACAACCTTGAAGCATTAAGCTATGTTCTGCCTTCCACTTGGTGCCAATTCTGAATTCAGCACATATTGGAAAAAAGCACTGCTCTGATCTGCACACTACCCAGTATGTTGCTTAAAGAGTTCAGCACATATTGGAAAAAATGGCTGCTCTGATCTGCACACTACCCAGTATGTTCCTTAAAGAGTTCAGCACATATTGGAAAAAGCATTAAACAGCTTCCACTTCCACTGCTATGCCAGCGCATAGGTGCATAGAGCCCATATACACTGACACCTGTTCTGCACCTTTTGCATAAATAAATTCCCTTAAGCTAGCCCAGCACTGTGACAACAGTTTTAATGCAAATTATGCCTGCACCAGAATCAGCCATTTTATTGGGCAGCAGGACAGACTATATATGGCCACGTTAGTAACTAGATCTCTGCCTAGTTCTCACATCAACGTGTGCATCTAAAACTCTGTACAAGAAAAAAAAGCAATTACAAGGCAGTCCTGCCAAAAGACAAGAGTGACTGCATGTAACCACACCCAGACAGCAAGGAACAGGTCATACAGGAATTAGCTTCCTTATATCTACATGTAACTGCGGGCTCTGGCAGCGAAAGGATAAAGAGAACAGAATAATGAAATCAGCCATGTCCTAGAAAACCATGCCAGTGCAATCTAGATGACACATTTGGTCTTTCCTGTTCATGAGCCGAGTGTGGGTCAAAGGAACATGTTACATCTGGGAGCCTGACAGGTAGATGAAGGTCAGAGGTGAAAGATTTAGACTCATCCCTTGTAATCATGATGAATAAGCAGTGATCTCTCTCCACTAATTCTCCCAGTTGTCCCAGTCTTCGTCTTCCAACTGAAAAACAAACAGAAAAAAGTCACAGCTATTATAAAACACCAGCAGCCATACATACACATGGAGAGTCAGAGTGAGTGAGCACGTGTGTTGCACACAAAGACGGCTGTAATGCTTTTAAAAGGGAGTGACATTTCCTATTTGGTTATTGGACAGCATGATGGCATTGTGGTTAGTGCTTCTGCCTTGCAGCACTGGGGGTCCCCGATTCAAATCCCGGTCAGGAACTATCTGCAAGGAGTTTGCATGTTCTCCCCTGTGATTGTGTGGGTTTCCTTCAGGTACTCCGATTTCCTCCCATGCTCCGATTGCCTCCCATACTCCAAAGATATCCTGGAAGGTTAATTGGCTCCTATTGAAATTGGCCCTGTATGAATGTGAGATAGGGACCTTAGATTGTAAGCTCCTTGAGGGCAGGCACTGATGTGAATGTGCACTATGTGAAGTGCTGCGTAAATTGTCGCCGCTATATAAATACCTGTAATTAATAAATAAATAAACCCAGTTGGATTTTATTTGACTGTTTTAGGAAAGAGTTTAGGACCAACATATTTGAAAGCCCTTTGTTTATAAAAGACAATATTGGCCTCAGATAAATTGAATTCATGTATAACCCATTTAATTCTCCAACAGTTAATGGTATCGCTTTAGTATGAATTTCATAACCCGATCTGAGAGTCCTTAATAATTATTTTATCCATGGTCATTTATAATCTTTGCGGTAATTTTTTATACTATATTATGTAAAAAAACAAACAAAAATATATAGCAGCCTATATTAATATAACTTTAAAAACAATCCAATAGTAATTAAATTATAGATGCAAAAATGACCCTTGAAACAAGTGTATCTGTTCCTTTTACAGAATCAGTATGAAATGCAACATATTCATCTGCAAGAACATAACACTTTTTTTCTGTCAACCTACTTTCCAATATTAAACCACTGTCACATACTGATGTTCTAGCAATGGCTGGAAATATACACCCACCTCTCCAGATACCTCTACACGAGACAAGGCCAGCTGTACCTCCTCCTCTGTCATATCAAAGTCCTTCTCCCAGTCCTCACTGACATCCGTGCTGGACCCTGAGTGTAAGGATATAATCTGAGTAACTGAAACCCACCAGTGCATAATTAAAGACCATTAAAATGTGAATTTAATAGGTAACTGGGAATAATTACTTAAAACAGAAGTCTACCACATGGCTATTTTTATGATATTACTATAAATAAATGTGTTTAGTAGGTTCACCTTTCTGTCCATTGTTAGAAGGTGTTGATTTGCCACTGTCACTGTTAAGTTCAAACACACGGAGATCAGAGGGTTGCTCATCTTTTCGAATGGAGCTCTGTGTATTGGCTTTGGCCACTGAGTGTTCCTCGGAGACTAGGGCTACGTTTTCATCTGATTTTTCGTCTTGTACCTCTTCAGCTCCTGCAGCTGGAATGGCAGAGGATTCAGCTGGAGCTTTAGGTCCATGGTAAGCAGGGTTGTCAATCTGAGTGATTGGGGAGATGCTTTCACTGCTCTCAGAGGGGCTTGTCACACAAACAGTTTCTCTGCACTGTAGGTTTGGCTCCTCAGAACTGGTTTGCACATTAAAGGCTGGAATGGCAGGTGAAGATATCCTAAATTTCTCAATATTTGAAACACGTGGGGATCCGGATCCAATAAAGTCCTCTGGAGAAAACAGACAGAAAATATATTACAGTATCTGTAATGTTTTGTTACATATGGCCCCAGTTATAGAGCAGGGTATGGCTTTAGTTTTGCTTTATTTTGTAAGTAAATCATAAACATACATGTTCAAAAATACATCAGAGGAATTTTTAGCCTCCAAAAAAAAATAATCTCACCTTCCAGAAACCATGGAAGCCAGGTGGGTCTATAATCTATTTGACTACCCATCTCCCCACTGCAACATTAAGGCCCCGTTCCCACTGCGCGATATGCAAATTGCGCGTTTGTCGCGCGATTTGCATATTGCACGACATCGCGAGATTTGCTGCACGATGTTGCGTTCAAGCTTGCATTGAGCAAGCTTGAATCGCGGCTAAATCCGCTCCAAAAAGGGTCCTGCTGTAGCGACACACGACCCGCGACAGCAGAACCCTTTGCCCCATTGGATTGCATTGGAGCGCGATATCGCGCGGTAATTTGCCGCGATATCGCGGGAATTACCGCGCGATAAATCGCTCAATGTGAACGGGGTCTAAAGCTGGCCATACACTGCTCGAATTTTAACCTAGTCCTGCTGGCATAAATTTGAGCACCAGCAGCACCATCTGGCTGGCTGGAAAAAAAAGGATTATTACATCGACTTTTGGCAAAGGAGCTGGGTGGGAAATTGTCAGCCGAACAGTGACTGCAGCAAATCAGTTTAATTATTCTGACAGCTGCTGACACTGGCTGTCAGAATACAATAGCCCAGCAGGGGAGATACATACATCTGCGCTATTTATTGTAGATTGAGGAATCTTTTAGATTTATTTCATTCAGACCATAGGCTGAATGAAAGAAATCTATAAGTGTATTGCCAGCTTTGTGTACACTGCTTGGCACAATGCTCCCCCTTCCCTATACTGTAGCTGCATAATTTCAGTTTTCGTAGGTGGCAATGTTGCAAAACGAATCTAAAACTGCAGTTTTTGACCACAGTACAGCTAGATAGATGCAAAATAGGGTACTTTCATTTAAAGTGTAACCCCAGACAACAAGTAATATTAGTGAACTGCTAATGCCCTCTATATGCTCTCAATAAACATTTGTCTGCTTGGCCTTCATACGAGTTTACTATATTTCAATGGTGCCAGATTGGGCCAGGCTTTTTGACAGTGTTGGGACTTCAGTCTCGTGTGCTGTACAGTCTGCCTTGAAACTACAGAGGGCAGTGCCAAGAAATATCTGGCTGGTATGTTCAGAAGATAAAGATACTAGCATCCACAAGAAATAGCTGAAAAGGGGCAGCAGGCTGCAAAACACGAATGTCAAAATTAAACATAAAATCATTCATCAGGCTGCCGGGTGCTCACCTTCTTCCTCCTCCCACCTCGGCTCCTCGGAATGAACACTCTGATCTGCTCTCTGCTTCAAAGCGTCTCTCCTTGCTTCCTCCTGGAAAAGTAACACATACTGAATGTAAGTCTCAAATACACAGCAATACATGGGATGTTTAAACATCTCAAAACAGGGCAACTTGCACATATTTTAGAAATTGGGAAGTTTAGTAGGCACGTATTCCAGTTCAAACCTTACTGCAATTAATATATCAACAGATTTGCCAACTGAACTCAAAAAGTGAAGCTTTGCTAGGTTATAGGGAAAATTGGTGCCTAGGAAACACCCTGAAAATGTACGTTTTATGGAATTCCTCCTGAAAAATGGCAGTTCATGTCCTTGTAGGTGAGGGTACATAGACAATACTGTGTATCCTGCATATCTGCAGGACTGCTAGTCTCAGGAGATTTGGTGATATCACTACTATGCTGGTCGCTGTTCACTTTGCTAGAGACAAAATCCTGCCTCTACCAAGATGGCCTCCCCCACACAGTGCAGAAGAAGGCATGATAAGCAAGTAATGGGGAAAGTTCAATGGCAGGGAGACCACAAGCAATACTAGTGACTCTAGTGACTAGCTCTTTGTCCTCTGTTTGATTTGTTTAGGGCACATATTTGAGAGTTCAGTTCCTCTGGAAGTGGACCTGAACTTAAAAAGTGATGTTTTGCCATCTTAAAGAGAACATCAAGAAATGTTGATTGTGCCTAAGAAATAGAGCTGCAGCTAACGATTATTTTCAAAATCGATTAGTTAGCCGATTATTACGTTCGATTAATCGGTTAATCGGATAAACAATAAAATAACATTTTTTAAAAATGGCTCCAGTGATGGACTACTAGTTTGTATTGAGATTGTAGTCCATCACAGGAGCAAGCTTGGAGCGGTGGAAGTAAAAAAATTGTGTGGTGTGCAATATAGTGAAAAGGAAAGTGTAAAATTATACAGCAATGAATGCAGAATGGCACCGACTATAGAGGACTACAAAGCCCAGCAATAGTACATTATACAGAGCAATGCAGAATATCACCAGCTATATAGGAATACAACAAATCCCAGCAATAGTACATTATAGCTGGCGGTATTCTGCATTGCGCTGTATAATGTACTGTTGCTGGGTTTTGTAGTCCTCTATAGCTGGTGGTATTCGGCATTGCACCACTGTATAATGTATTATTGCTGGGCTTTGACGAATATCACCAGCTATTTAGGAATACAACAAATCCCAGCAATACATTATACATGCAGTGTACAATGTATTGCTGGGATTTGTATTCCTTTGTATAATATACAGCACCATGTACCATCAGCTATAGAGGAGTACAAATCCCAGCAATACATTATAGAGCACCATGTGTTGGAAAGTGCAGGCTTACCTGAGCAGTCTCCCAGCAACTTGCTTCTGAGATCGGGCCTGCCTATCGGCGGCTGTCATCCCCCCACACCTGCTCCTCCTTACTACATCTCCCCGCGTGCCTGTGCCGATCGTGGATGTGGGCGGGCGGTAAGTGTGAGGCGGGAAGGAGGTTCGGCGTGGATGCGGGCGGGTCTGCGAGCGTGAGGTGGGGAGGAGGTGTGGCGTGCAGCATGTGTGGAGCCGTGAACAGGGCCAACTGATCGGAAGCCGATTAATCGATTATTGAAAAAGTTGACAACTTTTTCAATAATCGATTATGTCGATTAGTTGTTGCAGCCCTACTAAGAAATACCTGTAGATTAACCTGTTGTCTATAATCTCTCCTTATAAATAGCTGAGCAGTATCCAGTTCCACTGCAGTAGAAATAGAATACCAAAAATGAAATGAACGCAAAACATATTTTGTTTTACTTACAGGGAGTGGACAAAATTACAGAAATACAAAGAAACATATTAATATCAAGGCGAAGATCCACCCTTTGCCTTCACAACAGCTTCAGTTTTCTTGCAAGGATTTACAGATACTGAGGTGTGTGATTTAGAGTCATTCTTTAAAAAAAAAATCCAGTTCTTTAAAGGATGAAGGAGGTAAATAAACTTTGTACTCTGCACCCCAGAATTTCTCACAAAAGTCCAGTGATGCTTAGATGTGGTTGAGGAGCTTATGGTTTCACTTTGATGAATTATTCATGAAAACAAAGCTTGGCAGTATGTCACGGGGAAGGGGAGTGTTCATTATTAAATAACTGGAGTTTGGGAACATCATGGGAGAAATAGTGCGATTTTGTTCATTCTTTAAAAAGCCTTCAAGAATATAGAGAAGCCACAAGGGAACAGTGTCTCTATGAAAGGGTACCATACACGCCATTGTATTTCTTCGTCATTATAAAACTATTGTGAGTAATCATCAGGAATAATAAGTCCCACAATATGATTACACATACCATCACGGGTCCCGTACCATAATAAAAAGTTTACAACAAACAATGTGCAGGATAGGATATAGGTAGAACCATCAAATCATAATCTTTTTTCTCCTTTGCACAGGTGGGTGTCCTATTTGTGCAGGTCTTGTATCTCTGTGCATGTACCTTGATTATAGGCAGTGTAGAAAAGCAACCCTGTTGTAAATCTCTGCTTTCTGAAACTCTTGATGTCATTTTTTGTTCAGAATGAGTCACTGGTGCTGATTCAATTCTGTGTTCATTTTGGAGGAAATATTTTGTTAGCATACAGCAACTTACACACTGCCAACTGGCAATCAAACTAATACAATTTGGGATGTTTAAGATGTTAATTTTATTATGTGCTGTTTCCATTATTTTGTCTACCCACTGTACAGTAAGATAAGGGAAACGGTGCAGTCAATTACAGCACCAAGATAATCAACCTCCAACCTCAAAATAGGTGGCTTAGGACTCCCCGCAGTTTCCTGTGTCCTAGAACCTGCTCGCTAGCATGTTTTTCTGTCCAGAAATTATGGCTGTGCCGAAAGGTGTAATGACATAACGTTTTGTCACCATAAGACCTGCTCAGTGGCTGCCCCTGGAGACTGATTCAAAGAGGATGGAAGGAGTGTATTTGCTGCTGCAGTTTGGTCTTCAAGCCATAGGCAGAAATCCCGCTCTCCCCTATACAGCACTGGCCTTTAGCAGACTAGACAATCTGCCATATCAGATATCCCAGGTACCCCCCAACACAGGCCACTGGCAAACTACAAACTCACAGGGAGGACAGTGAATAATCCTTCAAAGAGGAAATGTTAATTATAATTTCTCAAAACTCCCCTTATTTTATCTCATTGTTTTATCAGGCGGGTGGGCCTTTTTCAATGGTGTTATTGTGAAAATGTAATGCAACATTATCCGCTGAAAATCTTGTCCTGATCACCTTAAAATCGGAGGGTTTTATGCACATTAAACCACCCTCACTGCAATGCAGTATAAATGTCAGTCACAGGACTATGATACAGGTATTAGACGGCACGCCTATAAGAAATCCCCTTGAGCAAAAAATGGTTTAAATTAAGACAAACCAGAAGAACAATGTTCACATAAGCTGTTTGTGTTGCTCTACTGTAAAACATTATCACGTACCTGCTCCAGTTGGTGTACTTTATAGAAATACCTTTGCCAGAATTCAGAGTGAGAAACAGCAGCAGGAACCTGCAAGATATTGTTAATGATTACATCAAGGAACACATGACATATGACAGCTGACACACTCCAGCAATCTAACTTTCTAATATGGCAGTGTAAAGGTCAAGGATGATGTTTGAAATACAGTTATCCAAAACAACAACTAGATTCCAATTAAATGTTGTCAGGACAGTGAAAGAGGAACACTCATTGCCATGACACACTGCACAATTATATACCATATATTACATATATGCCTAACCTCAACACAAAATATATAAAGGACATTGTTAGAAAGGACAAGAAAGAATCATCTACAATGAGGAATGATTACTTAATTTCTGCTACACAATTAGGACAACCTGACAGTGTCTTTAATCTATGACTGATGTATTATTTTTCTATTTTTTACTCCCACAAAACAGAATAATCATTGTAAGACAACACTAGCAAAAGAAAGCAGTATACACGTCAATGTGATATTACGAGTAATGAGACAGTTGCTGCAAATCAATACGAAGACAGCTGAAATGTCAAAATTGATCTTGTCCATATGAGGTAAACAACCATTTAGTTCTGTCCTAAGGAACATTTCTAATATATGATTCTCAGAAAATGAATTCAGGCAACTAGAATTACTCAAATAATAGGGCCAACCCAATACATTATTAAGTATTTATACTTTACCAATAAGATTTGCTTTGTTCATTTTTCTTTAGTAAAAAGTGCTGACTTAATAAAAATGAGCTATATATTACCTCTTCTATGATAGAACAGGCTACTACCTCCAAACAGATTAATTTCGCAAAATTTGTATTCATTTTCCAAATGTGCACATCAACGTTAGTAAGCTGATACAGCAGCCATAGTAGTCAAAACTAAGTATACATCTTTCAGAACATAATAAAGAACATGACAAAATGCTTTATACATGCACCAAAAAAAGAACAATGTGGGTCTTTTAGCAGGACATCCATGAAACTCCACTGGATCCTGCAGCTTCTTCTACCAAATACCGAGACCCCTATGTAGCCCCAGAGGCAAAACGGAGAAATAACCTTCCAAACGGCAACTAAAGTTAAGGTGGGGACCACTACAACACTCCCCTACCAGGTTATAGGGAAGGAGGATAACAGGGTAGAAGTGACATGCAAAAACAAGTGAGAGGTAAAAATCAGAAAAATAAATGAGGAGAAGCGAAGAGAGAAAAGTAGCAATGAAAGGTATGGAGATGCAGTATAAGAAACAGGTAGGAGAGAAAAGGTCAAGAAGGGAACACCCCAAGAGACAGTCATTCAGGCTAGGTTCACACCATGTCCAAGACCAGATCTGCAAACGCTTCGTTTTTTGGGGGTTTGTTTTTTTTTTAGCTTAAAATGGCCTTTCAGGTGCAGTCCAGTGTGTTCCAGTGCATTTGCATGCATTTTTATGTACATTTCCATGTGTTCCAGACCAGAGAAAATGAGACAATCAGTATTTTTTTTGTCTGCACCGGAACGAACTGCGCTCGTGTGAACAGAGCCCAAAAATACCATAGGGATACATTGGGATGTTTTTTTGGTCCGGGAACAAACTGTTCTGGTCTGGACATGGTGTGAACAAGCCCTCAATGTCCTTAGAGAGGACACTAAGGCTGCGTCACCTCCTAACAGATTAAGCACAAATCGAATTGGTCAAAAATCTTCTTTAGGATTTTGGATCTTATGTTAGAAGAGTTAGTGTAACATTTTCCTCCAATCCTAAGAATGTATTTGTTCTCTAGCCCCCTCGTTCTCCTTTGTAATTCTCTATCTTGCTTATTTTCCATCTCCCTCAATTATAGTTACCAGCCAAATTTAAATAACACCAACCAATATACTGTACATATTTTCCTTTCTGATCACATCTTTTCTTTTTTTTTGCCAAAAAGTGTTCCCAGGAAAGAGAACTAAGCAGTAATGGTTTCTATACTGCCCCATTAAGAGCCCCAGCCACAATATCCATTTTGTCTTATCCTTACAATCAGCCTAGACATTTACTACAGGAGGGGAAACATAACAGGTCTCTGAACTCAACTCAGTTTAAAAACTGCTGAAGAGGCAGTTTGCATGTCATGGCATACATAGAGAACTACAAAACACACATACCATTTTGGTGTAGAGTGCACGGATGGATGGGCTGGAAACTAGGAGATCAGATATTTCAGCTTTCCGTTGCTCAGTGTCCCAGTGGGTTAACCAGTCATCAAACAGCTCAGGAGGGCCTGTTATGAGTAAATAATTTGTTGTAAGAGTTGAAATCTTGATGCAAACCTTGACAAGTATCTCTAAATGTCAGTAACCAGGACCAAACTATGAGGCGGTCATTTTAGCCTGTCAGCATTAGTAAAGGGTATATTTTGGCAAATATTGTATATTCAGGCAGTCAGCAAGTATCACAAGCAGCTCAAGGTGTACCATAAATCAGAACACTCAGATGAATACAGGATCTGACCCCTAAACAACAGCACATCACATTCAATCTTGACCATATCCGTTTTAATTTTCAGACAGCCAAGAGAGTAGCTGGCCGCACACCGGATTCCGGTGGGAGAGTTTATTAAAGCTTGCACCACATCTGTACAACTAAGCCCGTGACTGGGTGAAATGCATTAAAGTGGTGGACCTTGGGTGGGACACCAGTGATGTGTTACGAGTTTCAATAAACTTTCCCAGTGCAATCCGACATGCTGCCAGGTTTTCTTCTGTTCGTATGGGCTTATATTGGAGTGAGGACATGCTCCCAGCGGCATGCACCTGGCTTATTCCTTTCCTGAGCCGTGGAGGAGCGTTGCTTCTTTTGTGTGTTCTCCTCTTTCAGCCAAGAGAGTAATTTGTGACTCATGGCTACGTCTCCACTTAACTTAAAGTCCACACATTGTCAAAGCTCACCGCTTCACAGTGTCCTCTCATGTGAAGGTCCACGGACAATGCAATCAGCGCCCTCATAAACACAGACCACTTGTAGATATTTTAAGCATCTTTGTTCATTGGGCTGCCTATGATGACGTAACTTCTGTGCATGGGTACAGAAGTCTCATCGTCTTGGGCACCTGGCTCCATTCCCAGCATATTACAGATGCTGGGAAGGAGTTGGGGTAGTACACTGCACAGCACATGCACCGTACAGTGTACACAGGCAATAAAAAAAACTGCTAGAGGTCAAAAGCAGCCATTTTGCAAAAGAGACTTTACATGTCTCTAATTCTGGCAGTTTAAAAAAAAATTATTTCTTTTTGTTTAATCAGCTTGGAGCACTCTGCCTAAAAAGCGATTCCTTTACAAGATGTAGAGTGCTGGAATTTCTACTTGCTATCAAAGTGTATGTATGTGTAGATAGATAGATAGATAGATA